TTTTTTTTTTTTACTTTAAACCGCATAAACACATTTCATTACCCCAAATACACAAAATAATGTTCTTTTTAGCAGCATCATATGACCCCTTTAAATAGATGTATTCATTATTTCCAAAAATCAAATCAATCAAATCAAATCAAAAAATAAAATAAAAATCTTACTGGCCCCAAACTTTTGAACGTTAGTATACAGTACATTACGGTTACATAACACCATTTTAAAGATATTCAATTTAATATTTTCTTTAAAATGGTATAAACATTTTTCAAAACCATATGCAATCTTATGAAACCAACATAACATTTTTTTATTCTTTAAACTAGATTTTTAACAGAATTTATCTTTTCCTTATCGTGGACAAATCTTATTTGTCATTTACCTGTGTGGACCCAATTCTTCAAGAAACCAGACTGTGAGAGCTGATAAGGCAAATGTGTTTTGGGGTAACAGAAACGGCCTTGTCAGTAACACAAGTCATTAGTTCTGGTCCAGCTGTTTCATTTCTTTCCATATTTGCTCTTACAAAAACCTAAATAACCTTTTGCCCTTTTTGTTGGACCCATAAATCACCATTCTCACTAGGGATGTTCATTTTAACCGTTTAACCGGTTAACACGCAAGTTGCATATAAGTCGCATTTTATTTCATTCAGAAATGGGCCTAATGCCGACGCGAAATGTTTACAAACATTTTAATAAACACTGTAAACATAGCTAGGCTATTTTAGTTCCCCTCGCTCCACAACAAATCCTTTCAATTAACAGTAGGCTATTTAGAAAAGAACAAGAATTAAAACTATAAGATATAGCAATATAAACGACAAGCCAAAACGAATTCATTTAGGCTAAACAAAACTGAAACCAACGTTGGGTCTCCCATTCGTCACAAAATCAAATGTTTCCGTATTCGCAATGTATTTGAATGCCAAATTATTATTTATTAGGCCTATGTACTTCACTCGCGTTCCAATATCCACGTAAAACTAAATGTTTTGCATAACACCACGGCGGTACTGTGATAACACTTAACGGCACAGATTTTACTACATA